TTCGTTGTTCTAAAATGTCATGCTTGAGTTTTGGCAGCTTTATATGCCTAAACTTCAGAGTCTGACAAACTTAAACATGCTCTGGTTAGAGTTAGAAGTGGGTCATGATGCTAGATGTACTGGGGAAAGCTTATGCATATCAGTGTCCACCTTGGTTATCTCTGATTTGAGTTTCGCTTGCACTCGCTAAAACAGTATGACCATCTCTTTAAGATGCTCTAGAAGATTATATCATTCTAACCACAGGGAAACTCTGTCAGATAAAAGCGAGCTCTTGCAGTCAGTTCTTCAGGCTGTTACCACTAAGGCTTGGAAATTTTGGGCATTTCCCCTCCATTTTGGACAGTGAGTCAGGCTGTAATTGTAACAACTTGGAACTCTCTTACTAGAGCAGGGGTAGCCTATCTGTAGCACACATCACGCACAGAATGGGCAGCCTCTATGTATGGCACATGGCACAATGGGTAGAGAACAGAAAGCAGAACAACAGATAGGGAAAGGGATCAGAGTGGCATTCAAGGAGCATGTGGGGCTTAGATTGTGCTGTGCCTGCTGGTGTCACACTACTATTTGTTACAGCAGGGATTGCTACAGGAAAGGTAGGAATGAAGAAACTACATAATTCCATGTTTCTTATCCTGCCAGTGTGCTTTGAAACCAGGTCTGAAGGAACCACTGCCAGAAGGGAGAGTGTAATTCAATCTCTGCCTAATAAATCCTTGGCCTGTTTACTGAGACTGCCAAATGTAGTGTTATGTAAACACCTTGCTGCTGGGAACTGGACTAAAACCATTAACCCTTTCCACACCAGGCATCCAACAACTACTGCAAGCAGAGACAATCCGAGCAGGGTGCAGGACCCAGGGCAAATCAGCCTGTGCAGGGCCCCACCTCTGAACGCAAGAAAGCTGGTGGCAGATTCAGCAGTGGTGCTGAGTGGCCGGACGTGAAGCTGGCAGCAGCATGACATTGCCACGCCACTCCACCCGACTCTGCAGGGCCCCCCAAAGCACAGGGCCTGGGGCAGTTGCCCTGATTGCCACTCCCTCCTGGGATGGCCCTTTCTGCAAGATAGCTGCTTTTACCCCTTACTGGTTTGAGTTAATTGCGGGTCAGTAATGTGGGCACAGGTAGCACTGTTATCAAGCCCTACCACCTTCCTCCCCAGGCCTAGCCATCCACCTGTCTTTCTTTAAACCTGTACACTTTGCATTACTAAATGTTTAATGTTCTCTCCATCTCTTTTTGTAGAAAATGGTGTGATTAAATCTGAGAGAGTCTTTGACGTGCTACTGGCAACAGACAGAGCACACTACATCAAGCACTACCCATACATGGATTCACCGCAGTCAATAGGTAAGAAACTTGTGGCAGTTTTCTAGTGTTGTGGTGTACAGTAGAACCCAGATTTCTTTGTATCAGGGTGGGTCTAACCCACTTAATTTTCAGTGTTTTGCCAAATTAAGAATGAGCTGTTCTGCTGATTGCTGTTGCTTTTAACTTCCAAGGGTGCCACTTTTCCACTTGGAAAATCATCAGCAGGTCCTGCACAGTTGAGTAGAAAAGCAGCACCCTTTATAATAAAAGCAACAGCAAACAGCTGTTGGAGCACCTCAGGGGTTGTATACAGTTGTTTCCTGAGGCTGAATACATGCAGCTAATTCACCAACCCTTATCTTCCCAGTGGCCTAATGAACCTAACCCTACATAAAACCCTAGTTCTTGTGTTCAGTGGTTACAATGATCTACAAGGGTGGAAGGATGTGGACGAGTTGTCAGGTCCTGGTTCATTATGCTAGCAAGCCTTTCTTTAGAATAGTGGCTGAGTGCTAGAAAAGGGGATGAGGTACTTGATACATCAATAGTCAATCATCTTAAGCCACGTTGAGAATTACACTAAGAAAAACTGAGAATTTGCCCTTTGGAAGTTGAGAGTGCTAAGACATGACGAGGGACACTGACAAGAGGATACTGACTTTCTGAAAAGTAAACTGCTTATTAAGTAGACTGGACTAATGGTTTAAAGATCAGCCCAGAACATGGGCAGCTGATTCTTTATTGGTTTAAATTTTACAAATACTAGGAACCCACAAGTCCAGTTGACTTCAGTAGAAGCTGTGGACACTTGGTATCTCTGACAGTGAACCAGAAAAAAGAAAAACCAAGGCAGAACCCCCTGTAGATCCACAAACTAATCAGATAAATTCAAACAGTAGAAACCCAGAGGAAAATGGCATTCCCATATGCCTTGTATAAGGCACTGGGCACTCTCAGGACCCGACTAGTAAAGACAACTTCCTTTAAATAACTTCCTTGCTCCTTGCAAATCAGAAAGCAATGGGATCTTTTTTTAAAGGCAGTAAATACTGGAGAGAAAAAAAAAAATCTTTCTTCTTCACAATCACCCCATTCATCTGGCATGGCTGAGACAAGTTTGAACACTATGTGGGAGATCTACTTAAACAATAGTAGGTTAACATGTTGAGTGAAGCTGTAGGAACCCTTATGTTCAAGGTATGGAGCCATTTTGGCTTTTTCCCATTCACAGAGATTTGCATTTGCTCTAAATTTCATTGCAACTTATTTTATAAAATGTGCAGATAACAAGCGTGACCATGACAGTGTAGCATCCACATTTTTTGGAATCAGATAAACCATTCCACAATACAGCATTTTCCTGAAGTTATAAGGTGTAATGACCTAACTGCATATGCATATTATATATTTTTCTGCCTGACAACTATTCTGCTGCTACTGATATTTCTAAAGGAGGAAGCTTTCAGTTTCGTACCTCCAAGAAATGAGAAATAAAAATAAGCTTTCAATATTGGAAGGGGGAAACATTGCTCTTCAAAAAATATCTCAGTAATTATTCCTCTCATCTTAATTTCTTACTAATTGTTAACTTTGTCAACGTTTTCCTTTCAGGATACAAGGCTACAATCAGTGCACCCCACATGGTGAGACAAAATTTTCCAGTCTAGCAAAACTGGGAATAGCTTTTATCTTAAGTTGTAATATCAAGGTGATGTGGGTCCAATACACATGACTCCTTATTGCTTTGGCTGCTGATGTGTGAAAAGCTTGTTAGGAGTTTTAAAGAAGGATGGGGCAAATTTGAAAAAACAAACCACTCCAAATAGCAAGCTCAAGCTAACAATTGTTATCAAACTATTACAGAATTAAAGATTTGCTTTTGCATGAGATTCTTTCTCCACAAGCCTTCTTTTTCCTGCTCCACATCTCACAAGTGAAATCTATTTTCCTATTAACTTCCAAAGATACTGTTAATAAAAATTGTACCAAAAATTCAACACTGCAACTTTAATTCACCCCAAAAAACACAATCTTGCTTGCCCAATAATAACTTATTTTAAAAAAGGGAAGTATGGGAGAGTAATATGAGAAATTAATAACTCCGTGAAAGTGTGTAAGAGCATGTTGTTGATATCTTCGCAGCATGCCCATGCTCTGGAATTACTGAAGGATCAGCTAGTGGAAGGAGCAAAGGCACTGGATGTGGGATCAGGAAGTGGATATCTTACAGCTTGCTTTGCAAGAATGGTGAGTAAAGTACAAAATTGCTTCCTTACTAGTGGCAGACAAGGTTCTTTGGGTGAATCTGATATCTTTTTATT